ACAAAGGGAAACCCATCCGCAAGGTTCCCAGTGACGTGAGCCTACCAGACTAGCTAAATGCCTTTTTAAGCTCGCTTCGAGGCAAGCAACACTGAAGCATGCATGAGAGCACCAGCTATTCCGGATGACTGTGTGATCACGCGCTCCGTAGCCGATGTGAGCAAGACCTTAAAAACAGGTCAACATTCACAAGGCTACGGGGCCAAACGGATTACCAGGACGTGTACTCAGAGCATGCGCGGACCAACTGGCAAGTGTCTTCATTGACATTTTCAACATGTCCCTGACTGAGTCTGTAAAACTAACATGTTTCAAGCAGACCACCATAGTCCCTGTGCCCAAGAAAGACAATGATGAGACCGCCTATAGGGAGGAGGTCAGAGACCTGGCAGTGTAGTGCCAGGACAACAACCTCTCCCTCAATGTGAGCAAGACAAAGGAGCTGATCGTGAACTACAGGAAAAGGAGGACCAAACAGGCCCCCATTAACATCAACGTGGCTGTAGTGGAGCAGGTCGAGAGTTTCAAGTTCATTGGTGTCCACATCACCAACAAACTATCATGGTCCAAACACACCAAGACACATCACCAACAAACTATCATGGTCCAAACACACCAAGACAGTCGTGGGGCACGACAACACCTTTTCCCCCTCAAGAGACTGAAAAGATTTGACATGGGTCCCCAGATCCTCAAAAAGTTCTACAGCTGCACCATTGAGAGCACCCTGACCGGTTGCGTCACCGCCTGGTATGGCAACTGCTCGGCATCTGACCGTAAGGCACTACAGAGGGTAGTGCGTACGGCCCAGTACATCACTGGGGCCAAGCTTCCTGCCATCCAGGACCTATATAGTAGGTGGTGTCAGAGGAAGGGCCAAACATTTTTCAAAGACTGCAGTCACCCAAGTCATAGACTGTTCTCTCTGCTACCGCACAGCAAGCAGTACCGGAGCGCCAAGTCTAGGTCCAAAAGGCTCTTTAACAGCTTCTACCCCCAAGCCATAAGACTGCTGAACAATTAATCAAATGGCCACCCGGACTATTTACTTCTTTTTTTTTACACTGCTGCTACTTGCTGTTTATTATCTATGCATAGTCACTTTACCCCTACCTACATGGACAAATTACCTCGAATAACCTGTACCCCCGCACATTGACTTGGTACCAGTACCCCCTGTATTTTATTGTGTTACTTTTTATTGTATTTTTTACTTTTGTTTATTTAGTAAATATTTTCTAAACTATTTCTTGAACTGCATTGTTGGTTAAGGGCTTGTAACCAAGCATTTCAGGGTAAGGTACACCTGTTGTAGTCGGCGCATGTGACAAATAAAAGTTGATAAGTGTATTTTTCATCATCGGCATTTAAGTTGGTAACTACTCCCGCAAATATTTTGGAGAGTGCTGGTCCGTCAAAAATAGTTCCCAAGTTGCTGTTGCAGCAAGGGCAAAATGTCAGGGACCCAACACGATGATACACATCTGTTTTGACAAACTGGAATGTTTTCTTTCTTCCTCCAAATCTTAAATGTGGCTAAATTTAAAGACTGACTAAACCGATATGCCTGTTTCTACCTTAGGAACCTGGTGCTATCAAGGTATGTTACCGTCAGCTGTTCATAGCACTGTCATCCTGTGCACAGTGCACTTTCCCCCTCTTCTCTCTTATCCCATGGCATCTTATATGACAGATTGAAGCCATTTTCACTGACAGGGAGGGAGTGGGGACTCAGAGAGACAGACCGAACATGGAGGCTTAGAGAGAAGAGGTTGTCAGTCATTAATACAGAGCATTCCAATGTTGTCTTAACCATTGTGAAATATTAAGGCAATTCTTATTTTTATTAAGGGCCCAATCACAGAAGGATATTGTTTGCTGCTAGGTTACAGATCCTATCTTGTGTACAGACATGCATGTTAATAAATGGAATGCAGGTACTGTAAATATCTACAGGGTACTTAGCAAGGTAATACATCAAATAAAATGTTATTGGTTGCATACACATATTTTGCAGATGTTATCACGGGTGCAGCGAAATGCTTATGTTCGTAGCTCCAACAGTGCAATAATATCTAACAATACAAAACAATAGGAAGGAAAACCATAAGTACATGGAAGCAGTGACACAGGAGGCCCCAGCAGGCAACTATCTTTCCACACAGTGTGTGTGTGTGTGTGTCTCTGTGTAAGTCACCACATCGGGAGAGGCAGGACACCCGCTGGAAACACACTCATTTTCTCATCTCACACATTCCGCAACCTGCTGCTCTTCAGGAAACAAATAATGGCTTAGTCATACTGTAGCACCACCAAGAGGAGCCACTCACTGGAAATAGCAGTGATTTGCCAAGGAAAAACATTTGGTACACCTCCTATTTCCCCCTCCTATTTATTTTTTGACTGTACAGGGAGCGGTGAAGACCTGGTGAGGTGGTCTCAATTACCCCAGCCTGCTCTCTCATCAGTAGTGGTTAGGGCTAAAACGGGACAGCTGTTATGAAGCATTATGGCACTGCAGTGGCAATGTCACAACTAATGAGCTCAATTATCCCCACGCACGCCTGCTACGAACCAACGCACCACTCTGGATCACGAAGAGGGGGTGATCCACTGTCACACAACTATTAGCCCTGTGCTTTTAGCTCAACTCATCCTAATGAAGGAGCTCGGCACAATCCCCCCACTAACATTACTAAGCTGTTTATTTATGAAGAATATCCCTTTAAATTGATGTTAAGCATTGTCTTTTTAGTTTGCACATGTCGTTCAAACGCCTCCAGATTTGGGGATGGGATTGGACTGCTGTGGTTAGGAACTGAAAGTCACGGAAAATGAAGATCTATCCTCATTAAAAAATCATTAAAACCACAATGCATCATTTTGTTTTGGGGTTTTAATTGACAATTAAAATGTATAAGTTAATGTAGCCATTAGACTAATTAAACGGCATAGGGATAATTTTCTGTTTGCTCTTCCATTAGAGGGTATTTATTATGCTATCTTAATGGCATTTTCAGCTTCCTGGGATGCCTTTTTTTCCAGATGTTTGTCTATAATTATCCTTAATGGCATTTGTACAATCCTTCAAAATGGCACTCAGCCTTTCAAGTGACACGTGGATCTAGATTCCTATATATCTCACACAGTAAACAACCAGAAAATAAGCCTTTATATAAAAAGCTAAAATATTTTAGGCTTGTGCTAAAACACCTGCGCTATCCTGTTATGTACTGCTATGTACTGCTCTTAAAGTAGTAGCTTTGCTGTGCTGTGTAGAACAGTGTTGAGGCATGCTGTGCTGCGCCTTGCTGAGCTGTGCTGTTCTGAACCGTGCTGTGCTAGGCCTGTGTATTTATTTCAGTCAGGCAGCGTGCTGGGTTGAACCTGCTGGGCTGTGTGCGTGCAGAGCAAGTCGTTGTTGTAAAAGGCCAAGACAAGTTTGCCTGCCAATGTTGGCCCACAGTCTGCACACTACCGCTTTTTGACCTTGCCAGGGTGTGTGTGTGTGTGTGTACATTCTATTCACTGTGTACGTTTGAGTGGTATATTCTTATCAGCGGGTCATAGTTTCAACAAAAGAAAAGTTGACTTGCAGTATGAGTGTGTGTTTCTGTGCGTTGGCGTTGTCTCCGGGAAGCAGCCAGCCCATGGCCCCCTGCTGTGGGCTACTCTGTTACTGGTGGGTGGAATCCCCTCTTGGAGCTGCCTCGTGCTGAAAGCAGCTGCCTCACCCCATCTCTCCACTCACCTAGGGAGTGGTGCCAGGGGGGTGGGCGAGGGGGCACACTCAGATCTCCCATCCAGCCTTGCCAAGGTGGGATTGGGCACAGGGACTGGTGCCAACTCCCAAAGACACACTGGTGTAGACTGCACCAGAAATGGAGGGATTGAGGGATCACAAACAGGGACAGGTCCTTGTGTTAATTTGAAATCCATTCACACACATGCACAAGTGTAGATGTATGTATACAGTACATGTGCCTACAAACATATACATGCACACACATATACACACAAACACATACACACACACGTACTGTAGAGAGGTGCTTAGCAGAGCGGACATGAAAGTGTAGGGGCCCTGATGGCCTCTCAGAGCTGAGCGCTGAGGGCCAGGGTGAGCATGCAGAGGAGGGGTAAGCACCGGAGACTCTCTCCACACACAGCGCCTGCCTGCCTGCCTACCTGCATGCCTGCCAGCCTGCCTGAGTGCAATGTAACTGTATCATTAATCGCAACCCAGGACATCCAGGCAGCTCTGCATGAGTGCGCTTCGGAAGCACACTTCATTTCAGCTAACCTTTTGTAAGCTATGCTTGTCGAGCCTCAAGTTCTCCTTGTGAAGCAGCGGAATGGGGAGGAGGAAGGTGATAGCGAGGGGGGAGCCACTCGGCAGTTGGCTGTGTTGGCTAATTATTGGCAACCCACATTGAGGAGTATGAGAAGAGATGTCTTTGCGAAGGCACTTTGATATTGAATACATATCCACAGGCCCACGGATATATTTGCGTTAATGGCATAGTTCTATTTTAGTGTCCAAACTTTCCGAGGGGTGCTGTCAGATCAGTGTCAGCGAGATGAAGGGTAAAAATAGCTGCGAACCAGAGATTCTCTCCAGGACAGGAGGTTTTTCATGAACAATGGGGAAATGATAATCCAGGGTAATCCATTGAAAGTGAGGGAGAAGCATCGTGTTTGATGTGAGAAATACAGCTCCCTTTGGCCCAAAGCTGCAGCTTGCCTTGGAAGCTATTTACTTGGTGCTAGAGCAGCGCTGTTTTACATTTGAGATTCACTTTGTCTTTTCCACTGTGGACATACTGCTGTCTGTTTCCATTGATGGCCATAAGTACGTTGCTCCACTTGGACTTGCCAGGCACTTGTGTGGCAAGTTATATATATTTTTTGGACTATCACACAGCCACAATGGCTTTGGGCATCTGTTGAAAGTCAACTAGCTCATAAAAGCCGTCTCTGCCTGAAATAAATATCCAGATATGTCAGGTAAATGTTAAATCAAAGCAAATCTGGTATTAATGACACTGTCAGACGTTTTTCAAAGACGATGAACATTTTTCACAACTGAAAGCCTGTTGTGAAGACATTACTTGGACTTAGAATGTATCTGTACTGTACCAATTCTGAATGTACTGGGTAGAATTCTGTATTGTAAAATGCTCTTTCTGTTTTACAGGGCAGAGTCTGGGCTATGGGTTCGTCAACTACATAGACCCAAAGGATGCAGAGAAAGCCATTAACACATTAAACGGACTCAGACTTCAAACCAAAACTATCAAGGTAAGTCAGATTGGTAAACACTGTTCTGTACCCTGAATATCAATTCACCCAGCTGCCATGTGATTAGGGCCGCACTGCTTCAGTGCCCATGTAGGTTTTTGGAATTTTGGGCAGTGACTGAGGCTTCTGATAGAGAGGAGATTCATACTCATTTACATACATACAGAGAGCGAGAGAGTGAAAATCAAAGAGTGGCTGAATCAAAGAGCATTAAAAGCCGTGAGGTATAACTGATATGCTAATTAATTTCTAAATGTCAAAATGTAAAGGTGAAACTAGAAAGATTTTCAGACAGAGTAGGGAAAAATCATTTATTACATGCTGGCCAAAGTTAAATAGAGGACTCAAATTAATATTACATTTTATTAAAGGTTGGGAAGTCAAATAAAGATGAAGGGTAAATGGAGAAAGTATAATTTCATAAGTAGTATAGTTTTATTAGTATACTCAATATCCATTTTATATAGTTGTTTGTCTTTCCTTGTTGAGCAGGATTACGATCGCTATCCCCTCATATGGCTCCGTTATGTTGTTCGCTTTAAGCCATACTGTAATCTGCTCTGCTACCATAATCCAAGCCCTCTCAGTAACATATTTCTAAATCTAATCAGATCAGATTACCCTGCCAAGCTGAATGGGAAAAGCCCATACACAATCCCCAATCCCCAATCCCTCGACAGCCCTGAACATGACAGGTCAACATTGTAAAGGGAAACAGCCACATAAGATCAACACAGCCCGGCCTGTTTTCAATCCAGCACAGTGCTTTGAAGTGGGCTCTTGAGAGGCGAAGGCATGGGGAGACAGCCAGAGCTCTCTGTGTATGTGTGTGACAGTCAGCATGACCCACAGTTACTCTAGCACAGGTCTCACCCACTGAGCGTAGCTGACAGGCGTTAGGATGAGTCACTGGGTCCGTGTGTGTAGATTCCCGCTGCCACTCTCCCTCACTAATGAACTCTGCTGAGATGGAGCACCAGAGGGCCAAGCTAGCACCCAGGCCCCCAACCCACGCTACTATAGCAGTGACGCTCCCCAGTCCTTACGCATCAGGCTTGTCTTTAGGAAGCAGCCCACTTAGGAATCACCAGCGTGCCATGGCCTGTCCCCTTGGGCTAGAGAGAAGAGCCTACTGCTGTTTTTCTTGATGACGCTGTCAAAACCCATAGCATATTCAGAGCTACACGCACACTCCTCTCTTCCCCAGCTCTTGCACAGCCTCTTCCTCCCACAGCTTGTGTGTAATAAAACGGGAGTGATCTTCCGTGTCTATCATCCTGGAGCACACAGTCCAAAGAGCAAACACACCAGTGAGCGATGTCCTCTCCCCCACACAGGCACAGTCCTACTCCCCCCCTCTCTCTCACAAATACGCACACAGCGTTCCACATCGTTCAGCTTCCTCTGTCTGTCCATCTTATCCAGTCAGACGGAGCAGCATCTTAGACTTCACCCTGGCTCTCAGTGATAGCAGCAGAGTCCCTCTCTGCTAGAGAGGTTTAGGCCAGCCCTTCTGTCTGTCTCTCCCTTTTGATTTGAGTTTTGCTCTTTTTATTCTTGCCACTGTGCCAAACCCATTATTTAGACTGTGCTACCCATATCAAAAAGACATTTTCTGAGTAGCACTGAAGAAAATGCCCCTTTTACAACTTCTAATAAGTGTGTTCATTATCTACTTAAAATATCCATGCAGTGCCACAGGCCTTTATTTCTGCACCAGAGGTTATCTTAAGCAGCCATGGAAATGAAGACAGACTTCCTAATAGCAGCAGACAGCTCTGTCTTGCAGCCCAGTGTGAGGCTCTCTGGTAGGAGAGAAGAGAGAGCTGCTTGTGGTGTCAATGAACTACGGTTCATACGTCGATGTGCAGAGAAAACATTTAGAGTCCTCTTTTCGGAAGACACTTGAAATGAAGAGCTTAGTGTCTTTGATATGACTTTCCAGTTTCACACCAAGCCTCAACTGATGAAACGTGTGTTTTTGATGCAGTACAATACTGTAGTTAATATGTAGGCTCTCATGGTAGTGTACAGTAAGACTTTGGGAATATCCATCCGTATGTGTGTACACATAATACTCAGAGACACATCACTCCCTATTCCCGACACACTTTTCCCGAATAACACTAGTACCCTCAGTGCTCCCTCACTGTAGGGGGAAAACAAAGTTCACCACAGAGTTTCACACACACAGGTGGTGTCTTTCTGGGGTCTTTTTCTGTCTTAAAGCGTGTGGTTTCCTCCTCCATGACACCTCAGAGTTTCTCAGCACAACTCTGGTGCTGCTACCATGTGGAGGTGTAAGAGGAAGGAGCCCGCTGGAGGTGAGAAGAGCAGAGCTACACAGTCTCTCTTCACACACACAAGTACTTCTTACAGCTAGTGGAGGTGTTGATGGATAAGACATCTGGGGCGGGCTGACAGGGAAAGAAGGAGAGAAAGTGATAGAACCAAGGGGGAAAGAAGGAAATACTTTTTGAAAGAAAAGAAGGGCAAAATTGAAGCTAACTGCCAGTGATTTTGCGTTCAGAGTTAAACTGGATTTTTTGTGATTATGCCGAGATGTTTTTATTTGTACAAGATGGCTTATGTCTTTAAATATCAAACCTAATGAATACCCTGGATGGAAAAGCTTCCCCAGTCAGCAATGGTAACAGGATTAAACTCACATTTTGAAATAGTAAAACCAGATCACAATCTAGAAATTAGAACAGCATTCAACAAAGGACAGGGACTGTTTCAGGAGAGAGCTAACATGGCACAACTGCAATGTCAAGATCTAATTTGCCCTGTTAAAGATCATGAAGAACACCCTGTCAATGACAAACAGAGCAGCCTTCAAATAGTAGCTTCCAATGTAGTGTAATACCACAGCTTATATGGCCTTTTAAAATGAGAGTTAAGGAAATGGTTGCATTTAAATGAGACTGAGGGAGGCGAGTGTGTGCTGTGACAGAATGAGAACTGTGACCCAGGCTAACAGGAGAGATGACAGCCAAGCATCCACAGTCTGTGTGATAGTGGGAGTGTGAGGGACTCTGAGTGTGTGAGAGAGAGGCGCTGTCCAAGGTGCTGGTGAGTGTGGCACACTGAAGAGAGGGTGTTAGAGCTGTGGAGGGGTCTGTGAGAGAAGGCACCCACCTCGCTCAGGTTGCATAGTTATAGTCAGTACAATACATCCCCATACAACCCCCCCCACACCAAAATAGCATTGCCAAACTCTCTCGCTCTCTCGCTCTCACACCCTCATCCACAGGCTGTAAATACACCTTCTCTCCCTTTCTCTCACATCTACTGTATGTGTGAGTGCATTTGTTTTTATGTAAGCATTAACAAGATAGCGATATGTTTGTCCAATACATCCATATTAATGATGGGGATGAGGGTTCATGTGTGAGCTTTTTTGCCACTGTACACAAGTATGAATGTTATACATCAAATTAAAAGGAAGATAAATTGGTGCCTACCTACCTTCCTCACACCTCTTCTGCGTGGGGTCTGCTAGGCTAATGTGTAAATGGATTTTAGATGGAAGCTGCTGTAACACAAGTGATGTGCTAATTAAAACGAGCTCAGTAAGGTGAAGCCCTGTGATTCAGGTCATTAAAAACAAGTTACACCGACATCTCTGGCAATGCCCTGGAAAAAATACAATCCAATGCTCTACGCTCAATGTTCTCATAGATGTAAGCCAAAAGCTATGCTTCAGTCATGTTTATCTCTTGCCTATCTCCTAAGGTGTCATATGCACGTCCCAGCTCAGCCTCCATCCGAGACGCTAACCTGTATGTGAGTGGTCTGCCAAAGACCATGACCCAGAAGGACCTGGAGCAGCTCTTCTCCCAGTATGGACGCATCATCACCTCTCGCATCCTGGTGGACCAGGTCACAGGTATCCATGGGGAGCCTTTTCATTTATATAGATACAAACTTACACACTCACACACTCACACACACACACACACTCTAACCCTCTAGCCAGCACAGCACACATGCATTGGCCTAAACATGATAACACACACACGTGTACACACATACATAAACATACAGACGTATGTTCATCTGAGTCTTCTACACCCTACTCACATCCCGAGCACAGGCACACAAAGACATTAAACCATGATGCCAAAACATGCAGCATGACTTCCATTGCACAGCTCTTAGATCCATTTCAGAGGTTTTGTCTGCCTGCGGCAGGCTTGAGTGTGATGTGTACTGATGAAGCAGAATGAGTACAGCACATTGTAAGCCACACTCATTTGCCTAAGCAGAATAAATCAGCCCTGACACTGGGGCCCTCTACACACACAACAGAGCAGGATCAAGTTTAGAGCAGGTCTGTTTATTTGCAGCGATGCTTCCACAAGACCTGTTCCACACAGCCCTCGGGATCACAAACAGCACAAAAAGTAAAGGCTGTGGAAAACACATCTGTTCATATAACTACAGTACTAGCCAGCTAGATATTCCCATTAACCTAGTCTCATACCACTGTCATAAATAAATCAACCTCTGCATAGCCTAAATGGAATGTCTGACGCATTCTGCGGAGCAGTATTAAAAATAAAAATAAATCTAAATAATGAATGGGATTACCATGCTTGCACACAGTTTATCTTAAGAGACGGAACAGTTTCCCAAGCATGTTCTCCACAAGCCCAGTGCTCATCCTGCTGGTGTGCCAGAAGTCTCTACTTCTCCATTGTTACCCAACCGCACTGTTGAAGGGAACAGTAGGCAGGATCATAACCTTACATGTCTCACAGTGCCAGAACCACTCCACAGAGAGAGAGAGACAGGCAAATCTTCTCCCTCAGATGCATGCACACACACACGCACACTCTCTCGCTCTCATTCTCCTTCTCTCTCTTTCTCTCTCTCTCACACGTACACACACACAAACACACACACACAGTGCCTGGCCCACCAGCACATACAGGCCCTACCAGGCCCAGAGAGGCCTCCCCTGAGGCAGAGGGATCCGCTGAAGGAATTTAAATGACTAATTAAATTTTAGTTGCTGGTGATTAAGATACAAGGAGGGTTTTAGAGGACCCCGAGAGCTCAGGGCTGGCACATCTTCCTAATTCACACGTACTGCCATAAAGAGAAATGGACTGTAAATTAAAACTCTCTTGTGACTCACACAAGTGTAACTGTGGGGTGAGAGAGGGGAAGAGAGAGATGAGTTTAAAAGCTTTGCCTTTGTACTTTAGTTTTTATTGGTTAACCATTCATATGTATAGGACAGTTAATCATGCATTGATTTCAACATCATTACACACACACATGCCAATATCATCAAATAATTTTGGTATTCCAAATCAGAATTCCCCTCCATCTGTTCAGTTTCAGACATTACTGTGGCTCAGAGTGAGCGCACAAGCTCCAAAGGCCAATCTAGGAATTGGTTTGGTTGGTTTGGACAAATGTGCTCAAACCCACTAATTAGGAGATTTAGTTCATTTTCACAGACCTTCATCAACGTGATGCACATTGCAGTCAGTCTCCTGCTCAGTATCGTCAGAAAGAACTTTGAGTCACAGTTTGCATAGTTCACAGAGTCAGAAGACAATGTTCTGTTACAAATAGTCTAAGGATGGCTGACTGAACTCACATTGACTTGACAATGAGTTGGGACTGGGGAATTATGTTATTACAAAGCCTTAGCCCACATGTCTTGCCAAAGTCCTGATCATGAAGATTCTGCTGTCCAACACAAATAACCCCAATGACCTTTTTAACCAATCAGAACATCACACAGTAGGCCATTCGCTCATCCACGCTGATGCAGGCCTGGCAGTCATTGCGTAACACATCAATCATGTAACCAAAGTGTTTTGTCAATATTAGTATCTTTCTCTTCTCTCTTTCTTTTGATCCCTGCAGAATGGATATGTGTATTTCCCCTCTATCGGAACAAATATTGCAGAGTAGCATTTTTATATTCCATCACTCTCTCTAATCTTTGGGGAAAGTTGTCAGATCATGATGTTCAATGCGAACAGTCGGTTTAAGCTAACCTCAATGTGCAGGAAATATAATATGGAGAGGCTTTGATCAATAGTTAAATATTCTGAACATCTCTGCAGGGCCCAGGCACACAGCAGTCAGTCTATATACATCTCCTCAATACGGCCAATACAATTGATCTGGAGAGCTTGCTTTTATAAGTTACCAAAAAAAAATGCCTGTTTCTCTTATGCTCCTGATGGTTGTTCATAGAAATCCTCTGTCTGCGCCTAGTCACACAGACTACAGTATACTAACATTCACAATAATGAGCATGCAAAACATTCATACTCACTACACCTATTAAAACCCCTATTACATTTCTACTTGATCAATCAGTATGTGGCTTCCTCTCCATAGACACATCTAGACTTACAGTGGAGGTTGATGATGAATGTTGTAATACATTCTGGCTCATGTAAAATCCCCACCATGTGTGGCTGAAGATCAAGGCTACGTACTGTATGTGCAAACCTGATTTATATACAGATAAAATAAGACCTTGTACAACTCATCTCTTTCCTGGTGTCTCTATAACCCACCAGACCACATAACTTGGAGTGTATTGCATAGTTACCTTGGCCTGCGGTCACACATCGAAGCAGACAGATGGCTTTAACTCTGCTTTTACCAAGCAGAGCAGAGAGCACCTAAGCTCTTCAAAGGCTTCTTTCCCACTGCCTTTTCAAAGACCATCTGTATGTATCCCCACAAACTAAGTTACATAAAACAAGAACAGGTTCTCTCTTTTTTTTCCCTCTCTTTCTCTCTCTCTTTGATTAGGAGGCAGTGAGAGTTTTTTTTCCTAATGTATTTAATGTGTAAGTTTAACAAACGTTCCATACAGTTGGCACAGCCACTTCAAAAGAGCGGAATGACAAACGGCAGCAAAGTGCTCAGGTTTGGAGCGCAGAGAGAAGGCTTTCATCAGCAGATTCTCAGATCTCTCCAGATTTCCCAGAGGAATGTTTGCCGAGTGAAGTGTTGGGGAGCGCCGTGGTAGCGCCCGGGTGCAGTGGGCGTGCAGAAAGCTTTGTCAGGGCACTGGCAGCTCCTTGCCACTGTCTTCCCTGGTTCTGGTTGGGGTTATTAATAAACCAGACATTCTCCGTGTTCATGTGTGCTGGGAAGAGATAAGTACAGGTAGAGTTACATAAGCCACGGCTGATTACTGTGGAGGAAACTGCCTGTAGCCCATAGCACATTGTGGCCTAACGCTGTATGGCCTGTGATAAGTGCTGGAACCGGCTGAAGCTGCCTGCCTGCCACCGTCTGCTTCCCAGCTTCCCTCAGCCTGCGTGTTTGCTTTGCTTTGTTTTGTTATGCAAAATAAAATAAAAGCTGGAAACTCATTATGTAAATGTGGAAAAGCTAGTGGGGGAAAAAAAATTACTCCACAATATCAACACTGACATTAATTTTTGGTACTATTAAGTAGATCACTTCTGGGATTGTTTTGTTAGATTGCTGCCTTGCTTGAGGGAACCCCTGATGAAAGCCAAATGATACCCTACATTAGATTGTCTTCTGAAGCTACTGCTGGCAACAGTCTGACACACAGACCTGTTTGTATGGAGTCTCAGGGTATCACAGTCACTGGTTCAAAGGTCATGGTCGCATGACCTGTTGTGGTGTAATTGCATTAGGCCCCGCTGACCTTGCAGTAGCAGTGTTTCTCCTCATGCCCAGAAGGTCTATATGGCAGTGAAAGGAGAAATTAGGCGTTACTGTTAGTGGGGTCAAATAACCTCACACCTTTCTCCACAGCGCTACCATATAGGCACAGAGACCCTCACACCTCTCCAGATACACAGGGACAGACCTAGAGACCAGTGCACTAGCCCTTCACTCTTCACACCCCTTCCTTAATGACACCACTTCATTCAAGTGGCTGGGGTGTTTTTCTCAGATCCCACCCTGAATGTGTGTTTGCAGCCTTCATCTGTCCTATTTGTAAGTCGCTCTGGATAAGAGCGTCTGCTAAATGACGTAAATGTAATGTAAATGTATGAAGGCTGCAGTGTAGATCTCTTCAAGCAGCTGCAGCCTGGTGCAGTTCAAGGCCAAGGGGCTTAGACAACTGGTGCTTGTCTGCTCTCTTCCACTGAGGTGTGATCATATCCCTACAGAAGATGAGTCCACAGGGTGTCAACATGTATTTCATTGCTCTAGAAACTCATAAATACTTGTCACGTTCGTTCATCGACGGGTCAGACCTAGGCGCAGCGTGATATGCATACATGTTTATTTAAAGGAATAAACAACCGACAAAACAACAAAACGAAACGTGAAGTCCAAGGCAACACAACATACCTTAACTGAAACAAGATCCCACAACCCCCTAGTGCCAATAGGCTACCTAAGTATGGTCCCCAATCAGAGACAACGAGCGACAGCTGCCTCTGATTGGGAACCACACCGGCCAACATAGATCTAGACGATCTAGATCTAAACCTAGAAAACACAACATAGAACATACCACACAGAAAATACACACCCTGACTCAACAAATACGAGTCCCCAGAGTCAGGGCGTGACAGTACCCCCCCCCCCCCCCCAAAGGTGCGGACTCCGACCGCACAACATAAACATAACAGGGTAGGGGCCGGGTGGGCATTCCGCCTCGGAGGCGGATCCGGCTCAGGGCGTGATGACCACTTACTCTCCGCCTCCCTGTTGCGCCCCTAGTCTGGTCTGGACCTCGGCGCGCTGCTTGCCCTCTCCTTCCTCCCACAAAGTACCAAGCCCTGTCTGGACCCTGGTGTGGGAGACCCCGAACCTGGAGAGGGGCTGACGTCTGGGTCTGGACTGGAACCGCTGACCGGAGCTGGACTGGGCACCGGTGGAGCAGACTGCTCAGGCTCCGGACTGGAGCCGCTGACCGGAGCTGGACTTGGCACCGGTGGAGCGGACTGCTCTGGCTCCGGACTGGAACCGCTGACCGGAGCTGGACTGGGCACCGGTGGAGCGGACTGCTCTGGCTCCGGAGTGGAGCCGCTGACTGGGAACACGCATCCCTGGCTTGGTGCGAGGGGCAGGAACAGGCCGGGCCGGGCTGGCGACGCGCACCACTGGCTTGGTGCGAGGGACAGGAACAGACCGGACCGGGCTGGCGCTACGCGCACCACTGGCTTGGTGCGAGGGGCAGGAACAGGCCGGACCGGGCTGGCGACGCGCACCACTGGCTTGGTGCGAGGGACAGGAACAGGTCAGGCCATACTGGGAACACGCACCACTGGCTTAGTGCGGGGAGCAGGAACGGGCCGGACCGGACTGGCGACACGCACCACTTTCTTGGTGCGAGGAGCGGGACTGGGTTCCTTTATTAACCCCCGCTCCTTCTGCTGCCTAACCAGCTCCTCTCGCCGTGCCTCTACACATTCCTTCTCCCTTCTAGCCTCCTGTAGCGCCTCCCTCTGACCGAATAACTCCTGCTCCCTCTGAACCAATAGCCCCCGTAACATGGTGGCCTCCTGCTGCCTCGTCGTCCAC